CCCCAAAACCCCAAAACCCCAAAACCCCAAAACCCCTATATATAATAATCACATAGAATTATTATTTTTAGTTTCTATATATTTTCTCTTGCTGGGCGGAATATGGAGTTCTCTCTTGATCTAACTATTGATGTTTGGCCACTATCAGAGCTGAATTCGTCAAAATCTAGTGGCAATAAGCCTTGTCTTGGAAATATCTCTTCTTCAATTGTATGCTCACTAATGTTCAATGAATCCTGCAATTTCTCAACTTTTTTAAATTCTTCGCTTTTACGAAGGAGTTTACCATCACGATATTCTTGTCTTACAATATCAATAAAGTTATTTCCTTCACAGTGGACAAGTTTTTTCTTTCTTGGACCAATTCTCAATGCATTCAAGGTGAAAAATGTGCCCATGTCGTCCTGGAGTGCAGTGTAACTCCATGATCAGCTCTCTGGTTTGGAACTCTTCGAGGCAAACTCAGCAATTTGGAGAAGTCAGGCGATCTTCTTGCACGTAAGGCCTTCTCCAGTTCTTCATCATCATTTCTACAGATAGCATTGTTCCGAGTCTTAAAAATCTCTTTTGCTCATTTGCAGCATCCATGAAGGCAAACGCAAGGTTCCTCAAGCTCAACTGAAACCCTCGTGGATCATCAGGAGGATCTGCTTGCACAGGAAACGGATTGTTTCGAAGAACTCTTAAATCTATAGGTGGTAAAATTCCTTGGGGTCTTGGTACTGGAGCTTCTAGCACTCTTCTCAGTCTATCTTGCTCAGATTCGTTTACTGGAGGTCGAGGAATAGGATCCTCATTGAATACATTCTTGAAATCTTCTTCTTCGTCTATGACAGAAAGAGCTCTCTCAGGGGGTACCAAGTTCAGAGATCTTCTAAGTTGCGCAATATAATCATTTTCTTTCATTTCTTCTGCAAAATTTCCTTGGTCTATTGAATCATTGCTTTCGCGGAGATGAAGATCAGATCCTTGGGGCTGATTTTCATCATCATTTCTCTCAGTTCATTTTAATAGAGAGCCACATATCAAGATAAATGGAAGAGTCACTGGAAGCAGGAGCACAGTCCATGATATTCCCAAAATTGGCTTTAAACATTTGAATACTTTTATGAAGCTGACGATGAAATAGACATAGATGAACAACGACGCTAAATCCAAGGTTAGAGCAAGCCAATGATGATATTCAGTTTATTCTAAAATTTTAAGGAAAGTGGAGAGTAGCTGAATTCTTCTTGAATACTGCAAATAAAAGCCAACTGAACGATCTATTACATCTATAAGTCCTGACAATAGTTTATCTCAAGCTTTTATATTGTAAAATATAATTTTAGTGATGAATAATTTTTCAAAAATCCTTACCAATGACCACATCCAGGACTCCTTTAGTGTTGAACAAATAGTAAAAATTGAAGAGAGTGGTGATAACTCTGACGATTAGCATATAGACAGATATTTTGTCTTCAATTTTTCTGATATACCACTTCAACTTTATGGCTTGTCTGAGGTTCAGGTAAATCAAATCTCAGCCAAAAACTATCCTTGCTACTTTCATGTATCTATAGAGCAGATTAGAAATCCATTCATTGTTAATTTTCTCAATTTTTTTACTACAATAAGGTGAAATAGCGCCATATCTGTTTTGTAAAAATATTGCTAATATTAGCTAAAGCATAACTCCAGGAATTTGGTATAAGTAGACTGCATAGAACTCTCGATTCAGGTGACCTTTCTCACAGTCATTTTATAGATGGACAACTCAGTCAGCCACAACTAAAACATTTGAAACAGAGCCCTTCTGAATGGATATATTTTGAATAATTATAAAACGAAGATTCTGATAGAACAGTTTAAAAATTCGTTGAGATTTTAAATCAGAAAAAGCCTTCGCCTGATTCACTTTTTATCAAATTTGGCTATTTCAAGTACTTTCAGATTTCCTGATAAGAGCGTAAAAAGGAATATGACAAGTATTGTATTGGGAAGTGGAAGAAGGTATCCAACAGGGAAATCTTTCAGAGTTTAGAGACTCATCTCAGGGTTCATCCAGGATATTCTCATTCGTTTGTTATTAATTTGAAGGTGGATAGAAAACTGTTAAAAGGAAGTATTAATAAGCCTTTTGTGTATTAAAAATCTACCAGAAAGCCATTGGAAGAGAGGTGGAAGTCTTTTAATATACTAAATTAAAGAAAATTTAGGCTTGTTAGCGCCGAATTCTGTAATAAATTTAGAGAGGTAGTGATATTATTTTGCCTAAAAAGTAATATTTTACATATTTAGAAACAGCTTGTTTAAAATCTCAAACGAAGGAAATAAGATATTCCCTATTTCTAAATCTCATACTGAACCAATCATTATCATTTTAAATGGTAAGAGGATTCTCCACAGAGTAGATTTTAATGAATCCTGATTTAGAATGCAACAATCTTGGCTTAAAATAAGCTAATCAAGTCAGCTTGTTCATATTAAATGAGAAAAGACATAAAACTTTAATCTTTAGAATAAAAATTCCAAGACCCAAAAATTAATTCGAAAAATGAATAAATTCATTGATGATACTTACTTTTGAGGGCAGTCGAGTAGTTCAGGCAGTCTCACATTATGGATTTGGAAATATTCTGCGATGACTATGAAATTATGATCAAGACTTACCAAAATGATTATACAAAGTCAAGCTTGAATATATTAGAAATATCACAAACCGAAATGGTATCTCTCCTTTGAATCCAAACACCATTATACAGCATAATAAGTATCACATTATGATATGTAAGTAGAGTGCTGTGACCAAGCTTAAAGAGTAAAGACCTCGCATTTTAATTTTATTTTATTTCTAGTTGGCTGGGGTTATGGGGTTTTGGGGTTTTGGGGTTTTGGGGTTTTGGGGTTTTGGGGTTTTGGGG